TCCGTTAAAATTGGAAAGACACAGAGAAGATTGGCATGGCAAAAGAAAAAAGAAAAGAGGAAAAGAAAAAGACATTGAGAAGGCCCTGGATTGTCTGGACTGAAACAAGCCAGATGACTTGTATGTCAGGGTACAGATGTCAAATTTTCAGAGAGTTTCAAAAATCTTAAGGACATGGTGAGTGCATGTATATATTCTGCGACTTTTCACCTTTCCTTTTTGCACATGCATGTTTGAGAGGCACTGAGAGCACGTTATATGTGAGTGCCTGTGACATAGAGGGAAAACAAGAGGTGGGCCACTGAATAGGCAAAGGAGATGGAAGGCAAAGGGTGCTTGTTGATTGTATTCCAATATCAGTAGAGGCATTCAGTACTTGCTAAGCAGAGCATCACTACCTTTGCAAGTTCGGATCTTGTGGACGCTGTGGTGAATCATGTGAGTGAAAGGGAGGGGTTTTGTTGCACTCTTACTGCTGATTTCTGTGTATTGCAGGTGGGTGCAGAATCATTACCGTTGGATCGTGTGGAAGCTGGCATGCTATGAGCGGCGGTTCCCTGCAGCATGCGCCGGGAAACTGATCTCCATTCACAATGTATTTAATCAGCTTAAGTACAGGTCAGTCCTCGATTTAGGCAGGTGCCAGGTAGTGAAAAGTTCCTTGAACCTGAACATGGTGATTTGTGTGGGGCAAGCAAAAATGCAGCTGTTGCTACTAGTGTGACCATGTTGACATTACGGCTCTGTTTTGAGGGTATGTACAGGCCAGTCCTCACTTTAGGGAAAAGCAGGAAGCTACACTCCAGGGATATAGTTGGTCGAGACTGCATTCAGATTAAGTACAGGTCAGTCCTTGGTTTAGGCAGGTAGTGAAAGTATCTTTTTTTTTTTCTTTTTTTTTTTTAATCAGAACCTTTTGGTTCTGGCTCCTACCATTCTGGGGAGCGACAGTCCGGTTCCTATTCCCCCGGCAAGTCAAGTAAAAAACATGGGAGACTCACGCACGCTCCTCCCCATTATGGCAGGGAGGTCCGAGTGGACGGCATTGATTACTTTCCTGAGGAAGGAACTACCACCCCTCACCCCTGCCTAAGTTAGCCTGTGCTATTTGATCTGCCTGGCTATTGCCAATCTGTCTAAACCCTTTCCGGTTCCTAATCTATAGGCTAGTCAGAATAAACAATACCTCATAGAAACCACACTCTTCCTCCCATTTGGCCGGAGGACCCCTGAGCAGCATTGATTACTCCAGCCTTCTGGAGGATTGACTGCCAGCTTGCCGTGTCTCGCTCTTTCCTCTCAGATCTGCCCCCTAGATCTGCCAGATAAGCCCATACCCGCTAGAAAGAGCTTACCGTCAAACTCTAGATAATCCTTGAGCCTCGAACTTCAACCTTACCTATATGTCCCGTCTCCCCCTATTCCTCCTTGCACGCTCAAAACCCTTAAGCCTAAACCCTCGTCTTGATTTTTCTTTTTTTCTTTTTTTTTCTTCCTCTGCGGCTACCGGTTTGCCTTGTCTTTGACCGCTCAAGTGGCCTGAATTGTGGTTTTGTGACTTCAGCTCATCCTCTTGTCCGCTTCGGGTGTGTTCTGGGGTCTACCTCCTGTTTCTAGGTTGTGCCATTCTTTCCAGCATACTCGTCCATTCCGTCACTCTGCCGCTTTGCCGTTCACCAACCCCTTTCCCATAAAACTTATTCCTGACCTTCTCTTGCTGATCCTCAACCTCGGGCCTCGTCTGCCTTCATCTCCGCCTTCAACCCGGTAGGAATTTCCATCTAAATACGGCTCTAAGGATTTTCCTACCGCCTTACGTGGCCTGTGATGGATCCTGCCCGTTTATAGACTGGGATCTCTGCCTTTTTCCCACTTTTTTGTAAAGCTAACTCGCTTGTACTCATGCTGAACCTCTGTTTTGCCGCTTTCCTTAACCCCTAAACCCTATTTCCGGATTCCTGCGAGATCAGGTCTCTGTTGTCTCGAAACCATCATCCCGAATAATCGCTTAGGCGATAATAATGTCCTCTGTATTATTTTGTGATTGTGCCATTTCCAGCGAGGCGAGAGCCGTGGTCCTGTCTCCCCTTTGCTGCGCCTCCGTTCTCTTCCATAACAAACGTGGGGGATCACCTTGTACTGTGCCTAGTTTACCCTTTCCAAGCCTGTCTTTGATAAAATTATCTGTAATTGTTTGCTTTTTCGTGGGATCATCCTTGATCTTCTTGCTTGCTCGGACCCAGTCCGTCCCATTGAACAAAACCGTTGTCCTGCTTGGGCTGTGTGGCCGCAGTCTGCCTTACTGTCTCTCCCTTCCCCGTCCGTCCCATTGAACAAAACCAGCGGGGATAGTTGATCCCACAACTCAAGTTCTGTTGAATGTGGAGGGCACACAACCATATAAACCAAACCATCGTCAATCTAGCTAGAATTTTGTTTATATGGTTGTGTGCCCTCCACATTCAACAGAGCTTGAGTTGTGGGATCAACTATCCCTGCTGGTTTTGTTCAGTTGGACAGACGGGGAAGGGGGAGAGAGGGAGAGCAGGACCAATCCTGTCTCTACCCTCCAATTAGCATGCTTGTTGCTACTGCGGCCTTTTTGCAACATGTTCTGATTGAACTCTCTTCTTGCAACAGCTTAATGCTGCTTCAAATCAAGCAACATTCTGATTGGAACAGATTTGGATCTGTTTGCAGAAAAACTTGCAACTGCTTCAAATCAAGGATGCATTCTTTGGCAAAGGATGTATACTTGATTTGAAGCAGATGCAAGTTCGTTACAATTGGAACGATACATAGAAGATTAGCATAGCCCCTGCACAAGGATGACACACATAAATTAAGAAATGGTCCAACTTTTTTCTACATCTACATATCGGTGAAACTCGGACGAAACAGTTTGTCACAGCCCCTCGTTTGTTGTCCTCTTCTCCCTCTCTGCCTACGGTTTACCGGGCAGTTCTATTTGACGATATATACTACTAAAGGAATATATTATATATAGCCGGGTCTCGTGTCACGTCGGCGGGAGACCCGGTTTCCGGGTTTGGGACTCCGGGTGGCGGGCCCAGGCGGGCAAAAAGAAAAAGAAAACCTCGGATGGCGTGGCCGAGGCCGAAAAAGACAGAAATGAGAATTGCGAGCGCCGGGCCTATGAACAGCCGCGGGCGGGGGAGGCCTGCCCACCTCGCGGCCTACGAACAGGCTCGGGCTGGGAAGGCGTACTTTGAACTGGCGCGGGCTCTAGCGGTACATTCATTCGATCGATGGAAGTAGCCTGGGGCGAGCAGCAGGTTTGGAAACTAGAGGCGAGGCGACGGGCGGCGCGGTGTCCTTTCGTGAGAGAGAGAGAGAGAGAGAGAGAGAGAGAGAGAGAGAGAGAGAGAGAGAGAGAGAGAGAGAGAGAGAGAGAGAGAGAGAG